GGGGGGGCGTAGGCGCTTATTATATTTAAGACACCAATTCAAAGTCAACTTAACGTTCACGATTCTCTCAATAACTCGGTTTACTTTGAACACCTTAATTTTGGTCGCTTCATTCAATTCCACTCTAGCCCTGTTTGTTCTGGTTGATGTTCCGCAATAAATAAGTTTATATATAAGCAAACTGTCCATCCTTTCGAAGCAGCGATGACACCATGCCTTAAAAGCTTCCATAATTATTACTTTAGGATATACTTCAGATATTATCGAATCGACCAATGCCGTCAATGACCTTGGGTCATGGCAACTTGCGACTAGACGGAGTGGAAAATTTCGTAATTGTATCAAAGACATCGCACCGTAGAATCTTCGACTCCAGCTTTCCAAACATTCACCTTCGCAAGAACATAACGCAAGTCGCCTGTCGCGTTTTGAAAACAAATAAGGTGTGAGGTGTCAATTATAATTAACGTTCTATCCATGAAATACTGAGGTCATTCAGGTCCGATCTCCAGTCGACAAGAATCTGTCAATTATCGTGGAAAACCTCAGCTTCAGAGGCAACGAGAGAGTGGAATTCAGAGCTCGCGCTATCGTCATGAACACATCTGGGTCGTTTTTCCTTCTGAATACGAATGTACGGTAAAACGAAAGAAAGCAGACAAGGCATACAGCGTTGCTTTAGAAACAAGGCATTTTCAACATTACGGCGGACAAGATTTTCGTTGGCGATGCGCGGAGGATGCCAATCTCTGAGTCACCGGCCTTCTCTGCCAATGTTCTTGGCAAAAGACTCTGCGCATGCGTCAACACAGGCCGCCTGTTCACGGTGCCTGGAAACAAGCTCTGCACCATCCAGCAATCCCTCTGCAGTTGAACGTGTCTCCGTGGCTTATCGACTTATGGCTTCCGCATAGCAGGAAGACGAAGTCAGTGGAAGTCAAGAAACAATCTCTCGCAGACCATCTCCCATGGTTACAGGCTGAAGTGAGCCTGTGGTACTGATCAAGGTGCATTCAAATCGATAGGTGACGAATAATCATTATAACTTCATAGAATGTATTTCATGGCCATTGAAACTACAGTCGAAACACTTTCTAGATGTAAAGTATTCAGTTTACGCGGGATATAGTCCAACAGCATCTGTCGTGTGCCCTCTGACTTTTCACACCAATTCTAATATACGCAACGTAATAAATGGTACCGTAA